TAATAAAGAAGTGGGTGGGGTGTAGGTAGTAGCTATTGTGTAGAAATTGGTATAAAAGAGTTAAATCGGGTTAGTGAATCATCCACTTGTTCTGAATCGAAAGGTAAGTAGTTAGAGTGATTTTATTTAATATATTTTTTTTTCAGTAAAAGATGTCAGAAAGGGAATCTATCCTTTGTTCTGTTGGCTGCAGCTGCGCTAAAACGTCTGCGCTCTTTGCGGCGCTTCCTGAAAGCCAAAGATGTCTGCGGACATCTACTGTAACAGCAATCTATGAATTGGAGCGTGTGACGCTTCATATCCATCAGGAACTGGGCCATTTCTGTTGGCTGTATGCGTCATTGGACCGAGAGAGCCTGGAAATCATCAACAACGGGCCTCTGGAGCTCGACAGCTTCATGGAGAGGCTCCATGAGCTCCATGCCATGTGCCGGAGACTGGCTTTTTTCAGTGAGACGCATGACCTGCGTGCCGCGTTTTTGGCTTGGAAACTGCCGTGCGAAGCGGCAGGTCTTCGTTTGTTCGCTAAAGAACTTGTAGAAAATATTCAGGAGAATATCGATAAGGAACTCCGTCGACGTGAGGATCACGTCCAACAGCTGAAAGTGTTTTCTTCCTGTTTGGAGCTGGAGGAATTTGTGGCCAGGGCCAATAATAGATAAAGAAAAGAATTTTGTTTCTCTTTTTTTTTTCCGAATGTTGTATCCTTTGCGAAATAAATTTTTCTCTGTTTTCTCTCTTTTTTTTTTTCAAAAAAAAAAAAAAAAAAATTAGTCAATGAAATTTTGACATTAGTGTGTTTTAAAATAGACTGTTCTATGGTCGGTACAATCATAGGAGAGATGGTTTTGACATCGTTTCTTTCTGGTTGTAGCGAACCCTCGATGCGAGAATAGCTAAGTGTTAAAAGAGGCAAAAAGGTTACCGGACTCAAGGAAGTTTTCCTTGAATCGTGGCTTAACCAGCACCACCTTGAGTTGGGTTAATTCTCAAGAATTTCGAACTAC